GAAATTTTAAACTGACATTATTAATGTAGATATAAATTTTTTTTAAAAAAAGGACATTTGTATCCCTCTTCTTGACCTAAGTTTATTGAATGCCACATATTGTAATTCATTGTCAATTCTTTCCTTTGAAACAGGTTTATTTAAAAAGCATAACATATGAGACAAATGTAATAATCATTAATTTATTTTTGAAGAAGAGTATAAACCTGAAGACATCAGGAGAAAGGCAAAGATGACAGTGGAGGAAATTCATTGTCATGTCCCAGAAAGTTTTAGTGTCCTCATGGCTCACAGAAACACACCTAACAGCTGTTATTGCTCAGTGATTTTCAAATTGGGAAAATCACAACCTTTCAGGTTCAAACCAGTATACAATGAGTCATAATTTTTCTCACCCATTGAGTAGATGATAATGTTACATGTTTCAATTATAAATAATTTGAGATATTAAACTTTAAAAGAATAAAATAGTGGCAAAAATTATACAAGAAATGACAGGAAATGTGGTAATTATATAGGCATATATTAATAACCACCTATTTGGATAACATTCACAAAGTAGGCAACAATAGATGCAGTATTTCCCTTTAATATACCACTGCCATTTTCCAAGTTGTTTTCAACATTGAGATGTATCACTTTCCTTTAACTTTTGTTTTCTACAATGTATTACCTAATCTCAAAGTGGAAACTGCTCCCCTATTTGTTTTAGCTGTTTGTTAATTTGTAAATTAAATGGAAAAAGGGAGATTTATAAAACATAAAAGAACACTATTCAGAAATATGTACTGTTTATTATGTCAAAATATTATAGGAATGGAAGCCTTCTGGTGATAAAGACCAGCACTTATTTATTGTCCTAAATGTTTTCTGTCCACTTCTGATGAGAGGGACATGGAAGAAAGATGTTTCATACAGATGGGCATACAGAACTTTATTATTTCAGTGAATTAGTGTTTTTCAAATGCTGGAGGAGCACCAGATGTAGAATCTTGACCTGCAAGCAATTGCCATAAACTTTGGTATTGATAATCACTATAAACAGAATGACATAGGAAAAATAAAGTGATTTTATAATTATAAACTATTTTAAACTTGAGGGTTGCAGGAATGTTATATTAATATACTTTATAAAATTATAATTTTTTTCTCTTTTTGCAAAGAAATTTTCCTTAGGAGCACAGATGTTTTGCATCTTAGATTTAACACTTAATTAATGATTCCAAATTATAATATAAACTTGTAAGTATTTGTTTCTCTAAATGTCCAAGATCCTATTTGTAAAGTAAAGACAATCTGGAAAGGAAAAATAACAAGATTCAATTTTTTTAAAAAATGAGATCAAAGAATTTCTTCAAAGGAAAAAAGACCAACAGAAAAGCATAAATGTCTAGCATCACTATTATTTTACTTGTCTAGAACCTGCAATCTTCTGCATGAATCTAACAGCAGCATTTTTCACCTCTTTGTTTCTGAGACTGTAAATGATAGGGTTAAGCATGGGGATCACAATTGTGTAAAACACAGAAGCCACCTGATCCTTTCCCAAGGAGTAGGATGTCTTCGGTTTTAGATAAGTAAAGATCATAGTGCCATAGAAGATGGTGACTCCCAGGAGATGGGAGGCACAGGTGGAGAAGGCTTTTTTCTTTCCTGCAGTTGAATTAATTTTCAGGATAGTGGAGAGGATGAACACATAGGATGCAGATGTGGTGATGAGGTTCAGCACTAAATTAGATCCAGCAGAAATGAATATAATGATTTCAACCTCAGAAGTGTCACTGCAGGACAGGGCTAACACTGGGGATGTGTCACAGAAGAAGTGCTGGATGACATTAGAGTTGCAGAAGTGCAGTTGGCTCATGGAAACCACAACTGCAGTGCAATATATAAAGCCAATAACATAGGAGCCAGTGAGCAGGGCACGACACCGTCTTGTGGACATAATGACTGGATAGTGCAGGGGGTGGCAGATAGCTACATAGCGATCGTAGGCCATAGAAGAGAGAAGGAAACATTCAGTGGCAGCCAAGAGAATAAAAAAGTACATCTGGGTGAAGCAGCCCAGGAAGGAGATGCTCTTGATGGAAGTGAGTAAGCTCTGTAAGGTTTTGGGGGTGGTGACACTTGAGTAGCTGAGGTCGAGAAATGACAAGTGAGTGAGAAAAAAGTACATGGGGGTGTGAAGCTGGGGATCCAGGCGAATAATCAGTATCATCCCCGCATTCCCCAGCACCGTGATCAGGTAAATCAGGAGAAAGGGCATGGAGAGGAGCAGGTGTGTCTCTGCAGAGTCTGTCAGCCCCATGAGGATGAAGCCAGGCACACTGGTTGAGTTCCACCTACCCATGGTGTTTTTCTGCCCTGTTGAATAATAAATTTTAAAAGGGGCAAAGGGGAAGAAAGTGGTAGGGCTAGGAGAAAGGATAGAAGGGAATGGGATTAATATGAGAAAATGGAAAAA